CGGGCGGGCAGCGCCCTGCCCCGGCGGGGGCCTTGCGGGGGACAGGAGCGCTCAGGGTGCAAGGTTAAACGCTGGGTTAAAGGTTTTCAGAGCAGGATTGGTTACTATTGAGGGGAAGAACCTCTCGGAGTCATCTCTAGGTGGGAGTGGGGAAAGCCATTCCCGTTAGTGCGAGATTTTGAAGGTGTTTGTACGTGAGTTAGCATTGTGAGTTGTAACGGGGGGCAGTTCTGTCACCGCGTTCGTTTATACCTTCCTCACAAGGCCAACCTACTGTTCTGACCTGCAGTAAAGTGTTCTGGTTGTGATGTGTCCAGCATCACCCGTGACCCGGTCTTAAAGCGTTAAGCAGCAGTGTAAAGGAGAGTCTGTCTATGCCCTCACTGAAGGAAGAATAGGAAGAGATCAGCTGTTTTTTAACAGCAGAAAACTGTCAGAGGTATGAGAGAGCGAACTTATGAAGGCCTCGGCCGTAGGGGCAGGCTCTGAAGTCAGACAGCAGTGAGTTGCAAATCTATGATAAGTTAGTGTTCCTCTTCTTCCTCTCCTCCTCTTGTCTCCTTGCCTGGCCTTTTTTCATCCTCTACACAAGGAGGATGGAAGGGCGCCCTGGAGCCTGTGCAGCGCTCTTGTTTCTCTCCCTGTGTCCAGGGAGGGAGAGACTTCAGCCACATACGAGGAGACACTGAGGCATGAGGAGCAAGTTGGGGGAAATCGGGGAAGTCGTCTCCAGTCCTAGCTCTCCTTGAGTGTTTCTGTCTGGGCTTTTGGAGAGGCAGTTTGGTGAACATGTGGATTGCAGTGATTTCGGGCTGGGTCGGCCTGGCTGGGCACCTGAGTCAGTGTGCACTCCAGGGCAGGGCTGGGTAGATCCTGGCAGTGATACCAGGAGTGGAACAAGAGGTGTGTTTCCTTTCTCAGCCTGTATCTGCTGGAATCGTGTACCTGGGACTGCGCCTTCTCCCAGGCACGTGGGCTCGGTCTGCAGGAAGAGATCGTTGGAGAGATTGCTAGGTTTGCAAGTTAGGTTCTTGACATCTAGCAGGGAAGATGTATGTGCAGGTGTAAATTATCATAAGCAAGCTGAATTAAAAGTGCTTCAGGGGAAAACAAGGACATATTCTTCTTGTGTTAGTGTAGTAGTGTATGGAAAGAACTCTTGACCTTTTATCTGTGCGTTGACTGGTGCAATCCAGATTTATCTGCAAGACAGGGAACGTTTGAAAATTGCACCTTTCACGAGTGCAAAAGCAGAGTTTCGTTAGAGCAGTTCTGGGAAGTTAACTGATATGCCTTCTGGGCTGGTCCTGCGAGGGGAGAAAGTCCAACACTCCTGAGCGGAATAGTCAGTTTAAGTCAGAAGCTAATGTACATATTGGCAGTTATGTCTCACGTGATATGGAGGGAGATTATGAGACTCCCTTTGCTGCTGGATTGTTAAAATGGAGAAGTAGAACAGTGCTGATGAACAGACATTTGTCTTTTGTAATCACATGTTATCCGTCAGTTTAAAGTTCTATTAAATTAACCCTGATTTTTCTTTGTGCAGATGTGTCACTTTACCCAAAGAAGTTCAACTTTGTCATTTCAAAAAATATGTAATATATTTTGGCGGTAAGTTGGAGATTCATATTGTTGTGTAATGGGTAAAGACGTAGTTATTGGATGAACTGGGTAGTTACACCTGTGAGCTGTAAACTTTGAAAATAAGGGGTTATTTGCTCTACTGCATGCTTGGATAACTCTGTGTAGACTGCTGCTGTGGTGCTGAGTTTGAATCTAAGTCCTCCATCCTGGAGAGCAATGGGCAAAGCAAGAATGCCCCAAGAAAACCCATAGGGTTCACTTTGAAAAAGGAAATATAGTAAGAGGCATAAACTTGAACTCCAGGGAACATAAAAGTCAGGCCTAAGCCTAATGCATCTTAATGCACCCAGGTGGAGCTTTCACCCTGTACTGATGAATTTCAATAGCATTATCATGCTACCTGGAAGTATTGATTTAGTTTCTAATGTATAATGTAGCTGGGTGTGCAAAGGAGAATTTTCAGATCCAAGTCAGGAATATTTTTCCAAGACTACACAGGACA